TAATCATTAGTCATTATTAACCTCTGGCTCTCTTCCACAGTGTGTCTTTGTCCTGTCGTCCTCTCCTCACAATAAAAGGTCCTGGAGGCAACTGTTCTCAGCACTTTGTGAATAAAATCTAACTGAATGGTAACAGCCACTAAATGTTTGCTTTACTCACTTGCTTCAAGTTCCATGTCGTCATTCACGTCACTGTGGAGGAAAGATAAGGATTATGTTTATAATAGATGCATCACTATGCCTCTACAGTAAACATAAATTAATAATGACATTAGCCTTTACTAGAAATGAAAAATAAAGTGGAACAAAGTGAAAGTCAGACGTGTAGAAAAAGCACTCGTGGACTTTACTTTGTGGACTTTCTGAACTTCTGAATGTAGAACTTGTAGGTGAGAAAAAGAAAAGCCAGAACAATGACGATGAAGAGGAAGACACGAAACCCAATAACAGCTTTGTTGTTGTCTGTGAAATAATATTAAAAATTACATTTACATGAAAAACAACATTTGTAGAAACGTGTGCTTAAAATGAGACGAAGCATTTATGTCAGTAAACTGTATCATTAATGAAAACAGGACGTACACAAAGTGCTGATTTCACTTATTTGAGGGATGCTCTCATAGTGTCCGTTGTGAGCCGTCACCTTTAAAGACAAAATGTCAGTTCACTGTGAATTACAACATTCAGGAGTCTAAAATAATATTTATAAGCATAATATCTTCTTTATTAAACCAAAAATGTTGGATTTAACAAACCTTCACTTTGTAGCTCGTAGAGTAGCTCAGATCTTTGAATTCGACTTCATATTTTGTACCTTCTAGCTCCTTCTTTGTCACTTCCTTATCATCAGCTGTATTTAGACGTATTATATATTTTCTCTCAGGTCCGTTGAACGTAGAGGGTCTGTGCCAGCTCACTTTGATCGTATTATGTTCGTGAACGTGTAATTTCAGCTCAGTGACTGCAGCAGGTGCTGTAAGAGAAATTTAAAGGAAGCCAAATTTAAAGTAAAAAACTGACAGACCTGCAGCCCTTTGCTGCGTTTCCTTCCTGTTTATCTTCACTGCTCAAATATCCAGTGAGAAATAAATTCTAACATTATGTAATAAAAAGTTTGATTACTTACTTCCAACCTTAGTTTGCAGTTTAACTTCACCCCCAGTGGAAACTTGAATCTTGTTCTTGTATTTGGCTCGGACTCGACAGGTATAACCAGTAAATGGATTTAATCCAGTAATAACACACGTTCCTCCATCAGGACTTGTAACTGTAACTGTAACATAATTTCCATGAACCATGTGAAGTGTTATAGATTTAAATCAACATCATCATGTTAAGAAACTGTAAATGACAAATGTCAGGGTAAAGTTTCACAAACACATCAGCTGGTAGTTCTGTCAGCTGATCCATAAACTGGCACAAACCTGTTTCACTTACAGTCTGTTCCTGCTGACATGAAGCACTGATGCTACAAGCTTCTCATAGAAACTACGTACATGTCAGAAAACCAACAGACTGACAAACTGTTTGTTGCTTTTTATAAAGACAATTACATTTCAAACATCAGATGTTACCTTCAAACAGCTCAAAGCTTCTCATCATTTCTTCTGTGTGAAAAAGTGAACTCGACTCTGATGTTTCAGCGTTTATTCTGTTTTATATTTGCTATTTATTTTAATAACTGTATTTATTCACACCCAGTCAGAGGTTTGGTTTTTCACCTGCAGTCAAAGCATCATGAACATAAACACATAACAGGAGAAGCCGTCTCACTCACCTTTACCTGTCTGACCATCACAACTGCAGTCATAAGAAAGCTCATGAAGGAGGGGAAGGACCTGTTGACAGTTCTTACTGGTTGTTTTCCAGCTGAGCTCAATGGAAGTACTGGTTAAATCCTTCTTTATGTTGGTTATTGTAAGCTCTGTTGGAACAAAGTAAACATCAGTAACAGTGAACAGCGTTTCCTTTGCTTCAAACTGTGTGAGAATAAAAGCTTTTATTTTGATGAGCTAAAGGAAATATAAACTCACCACAATCAACCCTGACGTGGACAGATGGAGTCGTCTTATTTATGCTGATGCTGTTCTGTAAGATCAGACCAGTACAGCTGTAGTCTGTGAACGGCTTCAGCTCAGACAGTTTCACATCAGCTTTGTTATTTTCTGAGGAGACACAAAGATGACGTCATTGTTGGTCCTCAGTGTGTGAACATTCATCCTTTGGGTTTAGATTCAAACGTGAACACATTCAAAGAAATAAATCTGAACAGATTCACAGAGAGCACAGAGCTCGTGTCTCTAACTCGTAAAGTTTCCTTTTACCTGAACAGGTGTAACTAACTGAGAGGTTTTTACACTTTGGTAAATCAGGTAACGTTGTGTTAATTTCTGCAGGAAGTCCAGTGGGTTTAATCTGCTGTATTTCACTGGGATTTAAGAAATCTGTGGAAAAAATGAATGAAGACAAACATGATTAAATGAGGTGTAAATGTTTGAATCTCAGAGCAGACGTGGACTCGTTCGTACGTACCAACACTGATGCTTTTGGTGACGTTAAAGGAAGAGCCTCTGCACTCTCCTGGAGTAAAGGTTACAGTCAAATCTGAGCAAATGTCCTCGTTAGCAGGTCTGACACAGAAAGTCTTCTCATCATTTCTACATGGTACAACTGAACGTTTATTTGGTGTTGATATTGAAGAGCTGATGTCCCAGTCACTTCCATAACAAACATATCCAGGGATGCAGCTGGTTTCATTAACGTCTCTTTCACCTGAATTAAACAAGTGATGCACAAATGTGTCGGTTTATAAAAGATTCATTTGTTAAGTTAAAAGAAAATGGATGTAAAACACAAATATATGAATTATGAAGCGCCTTGAGGCGACTTTTGTTGTGATTTGGCGCTATATAAATAAAATTGAATTGAATTGAATTAATTGAACTCACTCATTGGATCTGTTCTAAATGTATTTTCCGTAGAGTGACAGAATATTTCTTTTCCAGTATTATTTAATGAAGGTTTTTCAGTAAATGAAACATTAAGACTGTAATCAGTGCACGGCTTCAGGTGTCCAGTTTTCCCCACTGGGATTTGATTCAACTGATCAGCTTGGATTATCTTTCCAGTCTGTGGTCGGCCTTCTTCAATAAGAGAAATGTTGTAGTTACCACGGGGGTTTATTTCAATCTGCAAGCCAGACGTGTTGTTGTTTGTGACATTGTAAGAACCTGCAAAATGTTTGTCAGTAAGAATCAGTCAGTTACACTTTTTATCTCAGAAAGTTTCTTCACCATGATGTTGACCGTGATCAACATCATGGTGAAGATGAAAATACATTTTCTATAATCAGTGTAAAAATACTTTCATTGTGATTCAGAGTAAATTTAGAGAGAAATGCTGAGCAGCAACAACAGTGTTTGAAAACATTCAATAAAACTGATCTTTTAAACTGATACTCACACTGTGGAGAGGCTGAGAGGACACATTTCAATGAGATCAGAAAAGAAGAAAACACATCATTAGTATATGATTATAATTATGCAATGAAAGTACCAGAAACACCTCAGAGCACCTTACAGCTGCTGGTACCTCAGAGGTGTTGGTGATCTCTGCTTTTTCTGTTACCTGTTTCTTGCAGGTAGGTGGAGCTGACCCAATTATAGATGCAGCACACCTGAGAAGGCCAGTCCCAGTGTATATAAAGACACCTTGACTGAACCAGCTGATGCTCTTGCTCTCTCTGTCTGGCACCCGGCTTGTTCATTTGGAAGTTTCAGTTATGGCTGTTATGGTCTTTAAATAGTGTTTAAGTTATATATGTAGTATGTACACTGGGTGAATGTGCAGTAGTAGCAGCAAGCAGGTGAATTCTGTACATTGGTGTGACTAGACATCTGACTATTTTACAGGATAGACAATATAAACATATTTAAAATTAAAGGAATTGAAATGTACATTGTGCCTTGGTTTAGTGTCTGGAAGAGTCCT